ATATATATATATAGAAGAATCTGGTCATTTCTCCTTCATATTATTTAGTACTTCAAGTTTAGCTTGAATTGATAAAAGTAGCCGGTTCTAGCCTATCCACAAATTAAAACAAAAATGTATAAATGTAGTTAAATATAAAGTTTGAACAATAGTAAGGCTTACGAAGACAGGAAATAAATAATAACCACTCGATAGTTAGATAGGTGGAGTGATTTGATTAATCTACTGCCTATTAAGTAAGTTATTTATCATTAAGTGTGTGTATATTTTGACGTATGTGCGTATCTGCGTATGTAAGCCAACTTGAACGTCCAAACGGCTACATCACACACACATAAGCACACATACACACACAGTTATGTTGTGTCCACAAAATGTGGTATCTTAATAGATTCATCGAAATGCGTTTGCTCTTCGTAAAAAAGAGATGCATTTCAGTGTCGACATCTTAAAGCCTAGATGTATATTAAAATGGACCAACGGAATGGTACCTGGAGCCTAGCAACTATGATTGTTTATTATGTTATAAAGGATTCACAGAGTGATTGTGTCTTATAATTTTGCATGTTTTAGCCTTCCAGTAGTGTCTCTCGGCCGCGAGGTCTGTCTGCGTCCAAAGAGTTCAGTGTTTTCTACACACTTCATTTGATCCCTCCTCTCGACATTTGGACTGAAGTGCAGTTCGTGGCACAATTCTGGCTCAGCAACCCCATCATTGGATGGTTACAGCCTGCAACTGTGTCGTCAGTCCCCTCGGCCGCTAGACGCCAGTTGGAAAGAGGAGAATGGACTTGCAAGCCTCTTCTCGGCTAGCTGAGACGGGGCTGCTGAGCTGACGACAGCAATTGCAGTTGCATTTGCATTTTGGGACACGGGCAGGCCTAATCCCACTCGAAGTAGACTCATCTTCGCATGGATGAAGGCGAAAGGGGATAAAGGGAGGACAGTGATGCAATCCTCCGTCAAGCATAAATCAATCTTTTTTTTCACTTTGCATGAGTAGAAATAGTTACTGCGCCAGACTGACTTTCTCCAGTCTGCACTTGAGATGGTGTGGAAGTAAAATCGGCCGAGAAGATGGGATGAAGGGAGGCTGTGACGAGATCCTCTCCGTACACACCCGCAATACGGTTATACGTCTTGCTTGCCTCCGTATAGTCCAAAATAGGGTAAAGACCTTTAGATCGGCTTTAATGAACCGGAAAACACAATGCCTGTCTACCGAATGCAGGCCTTTCACGTGAGGAGATTTGAGGAAATAATAAATTTTGTTTAACTGCTTTGCGAAATCTGTAAGTCTTCCTTAAAACGGATGAGCGTAACCCATTTAATTCTATTCGTGAATGAATTGAAGATGTGTATAAAAAAGTTATAGTCTATTTCTATCTAAATGACAATTAGAAAAGCAATTATGCTATTTTAAAGCTTTGCAGACTTAAGAATTACCTTCAGATCAGGATTGAAATCAACATAAGTTACTTTTGTGTTCGGATTTATTCTACTTTTTACGCAATAAAACTTTATCCTAAGGCCAATATTACAATTAAATTGCAACACGTTTGCTAAGCAAATTGAAAGATTAATTGATTGAATTATA